GCGTCATTTGCCGAAACCGTGTCGTTTGCCCTTGCCCAAGAGACGGCAAGAATGATTGTTAAGCCCCAGACCCACAAGATTAGCCAACTGGAGACCGAATGTTGCGAACACAAATCTCTCGTTAACTTGATCAAGGACGCCATGAGGCGGGTAATAGAAGAAACAAAGTTTGTAGGGATGACTAAGCACAGGGTTAGATGCTACAACTGCGATAAAGCAGGTCATATTGCGCGCGAATGCAGAGCTAAGCGCAAACGATCCAGGTCATCGTCACCACCTCCAACGAAAGATGGTAGAAGAATGGCTCAACAGTCCACCAATGAGTTACCGTTAAACAGAATCGAGCACAGAGAAGGCGGAAAACACGGTAATGCTGATGCCCTGTCTCGTCGGCCATGCAAGGTAGAATACAGCCACTGCTCAAAGGCTGAGTGCAAAGAGAATATCGTGGATGTCCGACGATTGCAGTTTGAGTCGGGAGAAGATTGGTCGACGGAACAACGAAGAGACCCCATTCTGGGCAAAATAATTTCGGCCATAGAAACGGGCAAGCGACCTAGTCGAAAAGAAATTACCTCCGAAAGCCCTCTTTTAAAATCCTATTGGGCCCAGTGGGACAGTCTACTTATAAAAGATGGTTGCCTATATCGCAAATGGGAAAGTGAGGACGGTAAATCTCACCGGAACTTGATCGTCGTCCCAGACTCCAAAATAAGAGATGTCTTGTCGGAGTTTCACGATGGGCCAAGTGGAGGGCATCTTGGCATAGCAAAGACCGCTGAAAAGGTAAAGCAGAGATTCTACTGGGTCGGCTGTCAAAAATCCATTGCCGACTGGATCGCCAATTGTGAAAGGTGCATAAGAGCTAAAGGTCCAACACGGAAGAGTCGAGGCTACATGCAGCAGTATAATTCAGGAGCCCCTTTTGAAAGAATCGCAATGGATGTAGCTGGACCGTTCCCAACAAGCGACTCTGGGAACCGGTATGTCTTAGTGGTCATGGATTACTTCAGTAAATGGCCAGAGGTTTATGCTATCCCAAATCAAGAAGCCAGGACAATTGTGGATGTGTTCAGCAAAAATTGGATTTGTCGCTATGGTGTTCCATCTGAGGTTCATTCCGATCAAGGTAGGAATTTTGAATCAGCGATCTTCAAGGAAATGTGCGACTCCTACGGAATCAAGAAAACCAGAACGACGCCCCTACATCCAGAATCAGATGGCATGGTGGAAAGATTCAATCGCACCCTGGAAGAACATCTACGGAAAGTGGTGGACAGTGGCCAACGAGACTGGGATGAGCATATTCCAAAGTTTTTACTGGCTTATAGATCGGCCATTCATGATTCCACATCCCGGACCACAGCCAAAGTTCTGTTCGGAAATGAATTAAAGCTACCTGGCGATTTGATATTCGGTGCTACCCCAAACGACGATGTGAACCAAGAAGAAGACAGTCAAAACTCTTTTAGTAAAGTCCACGATGCAGTCCGACATCGAATAAAAATGGTTAGGAACCGCATGAAGGCAAGGTACGATCGAGCGGCAAATACTGATGGGTTTCAAGAAGGGCAACTGGTACTATTGTTCAACCCACAACGAAAGAAAGGACTATGCCCCAAATTGCAAACGCACTGGGAAGGACCCTACAAGATTGTCACGAAAATAAATGACGTCGTTTATCGCATCCAGAGGAGCGACAGTCCCAGGTCGAAGATGAAAGTTGTACATTTGGAGCGGCTGACCCCCTACGGAACGGGAACTGTGCCTATTCGGGACGAACAGGCTTAAGCGGGGGGCAATGTTACGAATATAACATTAGATTTAAGTTAATTTAGATGAATTCCGTTAATTTAAGAATTTGAATTGTAACGTAAATTTCTACTACGCAATTTATTCGAATAACTTCACAACAACAACTACTGTATAGATTTTTCTACATCCTTCCATTTCCTCTTTCATTTTCTATTTTGTTATTGTCGTACAATTCTTGTTAAACGTCATCATTGATGATCGCTTAATTCCTCTTTCTTTGTTACCCCCTCGCCTGTATATGTGTTGTTGTTATTGTTTACTCAATGTAAGTTTGTATGTGTTGTTGTTATTGTTTACTCAATGTAAGTTTGTATGTGTTTGTTGCATTGGTACATTGTTCGTAATCTAGGCGTTACCAGATCGTCTAGAAACTTCTGTAGCGACAGGCAGGGCTCATATAAATAGAGGAAATGGAAAGGCAGTGAGTCAGTTGTGAATCAGATCGCGAATTGAAACCGTCGAGTAAAGTAAAGTGCAAAGTAAAGTTGTGTGAATAAAATCATTGTAATAATCGTAATCCGAAAGAACCTTCGTTTTATTTGGTACGAATTGTATCGGGAAATAAAACAACGTCTACACGGGATTTAGTAAAACCCAAGAACGTAACAATATTTAACTCCGAAGCGCAGCGCACATCAATTTCGAGCGTTTTAGTTATCGTTTCCTTGTGGTTGTTGTAATTTCGATAACATATAACGCGACGGACGGCTCAACTTGTCAGTAAATAGTACTGTTTTCGCTTACATCCGTTTTTGGCCTTTAAGCGTAATGGACTATAAGCGAAAAGTACTGTACCATGGCACAATGAATAGGTAGTCCCATGATGCAATAATATGGTGATGTATCACAACAAAAACCTTTGTTTTTGTCTCGACCTTCTGTCCAATTGTTCCATATAAAATTTCACATGGTTGGCAACTCTGCAACTCTGCATCATGATGCTATTCAATAAAAATGCCGATTAATCGATTAGTCAAAAGTCGATTTAGTTATCCCAAATTCGCACATGTCTGTTCAAAAACACTGTGTTGAATGTTTTTTTTTTGTTTTTTTGATTCGTATTGGATCGTAGTTAATATTTAATATTTTTAATATTTAGAAAATTTAGCACAGCTTCCGGGCGCTTTACAAAAAAATTTACAATTTAGTAAGAGTTTATGAACTTTGTCGGTAGAGTCGTCTATAGAATGTTGTCGTATGGTTTGCGATCCATTTCCTTCCGGCATGTTAATACGTTTTGTAGCCAGTTATTTGCAAATCAGTTATAGTCCAGATGCATGGGTTAAAGTAAAATATCGAAGTAAATTGATTTTAGGGGCTCATTTCGGATTTTTTTGACGAAGTTAGGAACTTATGAATTTTGTAACTTCAGAGATCCATATCACGGGAAGTATGGACTTCCCCACGAAAGTCATATAGTCATCAGAGAGACGAAATCTACCTGTGGTAAATTTTGGAAAAATCGAAGTTAGGCCAATAAACTCAACATAAGCCAAAGTAGATGTGCTTCAGAGTATTTGAGAATTCAGCGTATGGAACGACTAAAGAAAATGAAAGGAAGAGGCGTAACCAGGTTCTCGGGAAGTAGCCCAAGAAAAGTGTTACTTTTGAAATCAAACTACTGGGAAAGTATCCAAAGTACTCCACAATTTGGCTAAAGTCTAATTTAAGGTCCGGTGGTGGATCGTTTTGAATTTTCTTTTATATCTAGTATTTGGGGCATTTATTACAGAGAAATATGGTATGTGTACCAGTAGTCGGTACTTTAAGGATTTGCGCATTTTAAAACTTTCATCATCTCGAGTGCATTTTTTGCACTATATTTTATATTGGTTCATCTGTTCCGAAATTTTGTTTATCGCTGTGTAGCCGAATTTGGAAACTGCTCATAGGAGTCCTTAATCCCACCCACAAATGCTATTCTAATTTAATGGAAATTATAACATAATTACATTCATACAAGTTGCATTTCAACCACTTTTTATTAATACCCATACTCCAGGAAGTATGGACTTCTTCGATAAGAATATTACCGTTTTGTAATCAGGACTCCAAACGCTTTACAAGGGTACGAATTGAACTTTATAGACCGATATCGCCGAAACTACTTATTTCCGCAAGAAATAACTTATACCATTGCTATCAAAGACTCAAAGAATGCCTATGGTAAAAAATTTAAACGATCCGCGACCGGACCCTAACTACTTCCTCGAGAAAAAAAGACTTAAGTTTAGGGCTCGTCTTTCATATCATGAATATATATCACTTATGGGGGAAGTCCATTTTTCCAGAGATCGGGGTCTTTGAATTTCCTAATTCATATGCTCATAATTATTTTATTTATGGGATCTTGCCATATGAATGCCGGAAATCATATCTCAAGAAGTATGGACTTCCTCATGAAAATCATATAATCATTAAATTCGACTTTTCCAAAATAGTTTTCTATCTATTCTTTTGAAATCAGTTTATTTAAAGATGTGTGGAATATATTGTTGCTTTTCAAAAGGAAGCCATGAATGTTTGGATAAAGTATGTTGCAATTTCAATTAATTACCTATGACATAGCAAATATTTTATTTTAAATACAAAATTTAAATTTATAGGACTTGCTGGATATTCTTCAAAACCGCGGACCAAATTCAAAATTAGTTATTAACATCGATGGCATTGCATTTGGAGGTTTTGTGCTGCACCATCAGGGTGCTGAAATTTGTGCACAGCCAATTGAAACTGATTCAAATGTACTTATTTTTAATGGTGATATTTTCAATTTGCACGATAACGACTGTGGGATATCAGACACCCAGTGGATTTTCAACAAATTTTCTGCAGCTAAAGATGAACATGAGTTCATAAATTGCATTCGAAACATTGAAGGTCCATATAGTTTCATGTTTTTTGATAAACAAAATGGATATTTATATTTTGGACGTGACAGCTTGGGTCGGAACTCGTTATTAATTGAAAACAACAAGGATCATTTACGAATTGTCAGTACATCATATTTGTCGCAAGGCATGTAAAAGAAAATTTATGGCATGTATGAGGATTTTTGATAGAAGTACTATTTTCATTTAGGTGGACAAAACGAAATTAATGTTGTAACAATCGAATTGCCACCTCTCGGAATCTATAAAATACATAAGGACGAACGTAATAGTTGTATTGTATTTCCATGGCAGCAACCGGATGAGAATTGGAAATTGCAAAGCGAAGCATTTGAGTCTACGATTGGCTTAACAATTAATATTGAGTATCCTATCAACCCATCTTGGTTACAGATCTGCACCAACAATCAGGAGGTAAATAAATAAATAAATTTAAATATATTAACGTAAACATACTGTGTTCAGTTTTACTTTAATTTTTACGACCTGTATATAGAAAATAAATCAAGCGATGCAGATAAATATAATAGACTGTTGGAACACTGTGAAGTGCTAGCAGCTTTAGACAAGTTTTCCCAACTTCTAGAGTACTCTGTAGAAAAACGAGTGTCAAAAACAACACCGTCTTGTGCAAAATGCTATCCACGTTATTTGAACTGCAATCATTCCAAAATCGCCGTACTATTTTCAGGAGGAATAGATTGTTCGATTTTAGCAATTCTAGCGGATAAATTTGCTAACAGAAAGGACGCCATTGATCTTATCAATGTCTCTTTTGAAGCATTAAACTCTCAGAACGAAAATTGGAATGTACCCGATAGACAGTCTGCTATAAGCTCCCTGGAATCATTGAAGAGATTATGTCCTCACAGGTATCGATTTTTCGAATATTTAATGTATTGACAGTCACATTAACTTTTCCTTATTTTGATAGAACCTGGAACTTTATTGAAGTAAATGTAACTCGGAAAAGTTTGCACACCTATCTTTCCAACAGGATAAAACATTTAATATACCCACTTAACACGGTGTTGGACGAATCAATTGGATGTGCGTTTTGGTTTGCGTCACAAGGACAAGGATTATTGTGTGGAAAGAATTATGAATCCACTGCAAAAGTGAGTATATCTTAAAATATTAGTATAAAGTTGTGTAAATTTAACGATATATTTTTTTTCTTAAAGGTTGTATTAGTTGGAAGTGGTGCTGATGAATTATTTGGAGGTTATATTAGACACAAAAATGCTTTTAATCGCTGTATTGGTTCGCAAGATGAAAAAGAAAAATGTCTCCTAAATGAATTAGAAAAGGATTGGCTTAGGATACCGACACGCAACTTGGCCAGAGACGATAGGGTAATATCTGACAGTGGTAGAACACCGAGAGCCCCTTTTATAGAAGAAAATGTTGTAAAATTTGTTCGAAGCTTGAAACCAAATCAAAGATGCTGTTTTTTGTATGAGGATGGTATAGGTGATAAATTATTTTTGCGATTATTTGGATATAGACTTGGCTTAAAAGATGTGGCATTTCTGAAAAAAAGGGCAATCCAATTTGGTTCAAAGATTGCAAACAAGAGGGATAAAGCAAATGATCGTTCAAAATATTTATGAAATAATAAAATTTATTGGTAACAAATAAAAAATTAATTTTTTAATAATATTAATTAGATTATCGGGACATTATGTCATTGTAAATACTTGTATTGTTGAATGGAATAAATAAATAAGTTTCTGTGGGAAACTATTATTTATGATATGATTATTTTTTGTGTGTAAAATTAGTCACCACTGATGTCCTGTTGATCAATTTTTTGCGTGATAGGAAACCCCGCATTGATCGATGTCAAAGACATGACAAATAATGAAAGTTATACTGGGAGATTAATTTAAATAAATTCAGGTTTTTTCATTTCTAATTCCTAATTCCAGTCATAGAATAACTATTATGAAAATATTTGTTATAAAAGTATTTAATACTTATATCAAAGTAGTACAAGGTGGCCCAAAAAGGACTGAAGGATTCAAAATAACTGTAATTGTTTGTTTTTATTTTTATTGATTTTTCATGTTTTTAAATATTTAATTCGTGGAAATTATTTACATTTAAGTGTGAAATATAACATCTCTCAAATGGTGTCCATTTTCTTGCAAACAAAAATTGGCTCTTTTAACCGCATTTTCCATTACTGTCCGTAGAGTTTCTGGTTCCAAGTTGCTTATTTCTTCTTGAATGTTGTACTTAAGCTCTTGAATTGTTTGGGGTTTATTGATATACACAACTTCCTTCAAATAGCCCCACAAAAAATGTCTGGAGGGGTAAAATCTGGTGAACGTGAAGGCCAAGCAAAATCACAATTTCTGGAAATTATTCGAATAGCATATTGCAGGCGTGTCTGATGGTCTTGGGGGAGAAGTTGCTGTGCCATTTGAATTTTATAGGGAAATATTTTAAGATCCCGCTTCAAAAATTCTTTGCAGGGATGTTCTGGAGATTCCCAATTGAGTACAACGACGACGAGTAGAGACAGATGGATCTTCGTTTACACTCGGTCGTACAGCCTCCACAACTGCTGCATTGCGCACAGATCGGTCTCTTTCTCTTCCTTGAAGATCTAACACTCTTCCATGTTCCTCAAAACGGGAGACTAAGTTCCTAATCATAGTGTTGGCGGTTTATTTGGGATACCATTTGTATTTTGTTTTTGCAAAATAGTCAGACTGAATCCGCCACTGATCCTCATCAGTTCCCTTAGTTTTTTGTTGGGATATTCTCCCCAGAAGCTTGTGCTTCTATACAAAAAACCTTTCTTACCCAAATGTCTCTTGTAACAAAGCGTTGGTCAGCTAAGTACTTCGCTTAGTTACAAGAGACATTTGGGTATAAAAGGTTTTTTTTTGTATAGAAGCAATAAATATCATCTGGGGAGAACATCCCAACAAAACTCTAAGTGAACTGATAAGGATCAGTGGCGTGATCCGAAACTATAGTCTTCCCTGCCTTACCCCTCGGCAAACAATGCCATGCATTCCCCACTAATAAATAGAGAAAGCTATCCAGTTGCAGATCATCAACATGGATTCCGTAAGCAACACAGTACAACAACAGCGTTGCACGCCATTTCCACGCATATAAGTAGAGGACTTAACCAGAACCGGCCGTGCGATAGAACAGTGTTGGTAGCGCTTGACCTATCAAAAGCTTTTGATACTGTCAACCATGCCACGCTGTTTGAGGACATAGAGAACACTTCCCTCCGGCCGAGTTTGAAACGTTGTGTGGACGCCAGTCGTACGTGCAGTTCCGGAACAAGAAGTCCAAACCCCGTAGAGTTAAACAGGGAGTTCCCCAGGGTGGAGTGATTTCTCCGGAACTGTTTAACCTCTACCTTTCCGGTATTCCACGCACTCCGGACGGCATTGAAATCGTTACGTATGCAGATTATTGTACGATTATGGCGTCGGGTCTCATTGTTGAAGACATATGTGTGAGGTTGAACGCCTATCTCATCGATTTAGCAGCATTCTTCAAAGCGAGGAATATGAAAATATCCGCCTCGAAGTCGTCAGCCACACTATTCACCACATGGACTGCGGAGATGAGAATGCCGTTGAATGTGCAGGTCGAGGGGCATACAATTCCGACCAACATCTACCCCAAAATACTCGGGGTCACATTCGACAGCATGTTCAAATCGTCCGCGCAAACCACAGCTATCTGCGATAAGCTGAAAAGTAGGAACAAGGTCCTCAAGTCGCTTGCCGGCAGCACTTGGGGCGCAGATAAGGAAACCTTGTTGACCTCTTTCAAAGCGATAGGTCGGTCTGTGGCTAGCTATGCGAATTCCAGTGATACGTAATGGAGAAATATTCAGACCTGTCAGAATGCCGCCCTGAGGACAGCGACAGGGTGCCTCCTCATGACACCAGTGGACCATCTTCATGAGGAGACGAAGATCCTTCCCGTACGTCAGCATAGCAATATGCTTTCGTTGCAGTACCTGCTTGGGTGTTTCAGGGACGATCATCCCAACCATCATATGGTGGATAGGACTCCCCCACCCAGGCGTGTCAGGAAGGATCTGCATGATCTAGAGAGAGAGGTCCAACGATACAAAAGGGAGCCTGTAGATCAAGTTGCCTATCGAGCAGGTCTGAATGGCATTCATACAGATGCAGTAGCCGCAGCGCTGAACCGTTACAAAGTGAATGCCGTCCTCGGAGCTAACCCCCCACCCATAGCAGCTGAAGAACGTCTGCTGCCCAGACAAACCAGAGTAGTTTTGGCTCAGTTACGTTCTGGATGGTGCAGTCGGCTCAATTCGTATTGGGCACGGATTGATGACCAGGTGCAGGATGTCTGCCCAGCATGTGGTACAGGCCCTCACACCACATTGCACTTGTTCAATTGCCCAGCCAAACCTACTCACCTCACTCCGGAAGATCTGTGGTCACAGCCAGTGGAGGTATCTGCATTTCTAAATCTAAAGAACTGGAGGAAACTTAACAGGAAACATACAATTCATATAAACTGCTACAACAACAACAAATATTTTAAAAAACAACATTGTTGTTATAGAAATTAAATTGTCATGCTGAAAATAAGTTTTTGACAAAAATAAACAAAAACAATTATTAATTGATTTTTGTCAAGAACTATTCTTTGAGGAATAATTAATGATTTTGTGTATTCTTGGGTTATTGGCGTTTTTAGGTAAATGAAAAATAAAGTTTAAGACCTGGTCGCGATTAATTTTAAGTTTCCCACATGTAGCCCATGGCTCCTTGTGATGTTTATATTGTGAATTACAATCTATTTTTTCTATGGAGTGGCTTCAATCTTGCCTTCATAATGAAAATTTTATGTCCTTCAATTTCAATCGCCGGCCAAAGACTAAATCATGGAATTTGTGTTAACCGTATAAAATCTTTCTATAGGCGTATTTAACCTACGCCGAGGATTGTGACAAGCACCAAGGGGCCGATCCCAATATAGGCTAACATAATCTCCTGGATTTCATAAGTAGCTGGGATTTATGTACAGATTTCCACGCATAACATAAAATATGTGGACCAATCGGCGAACGGTGTTATAACTGATTTAAGCATAGGTTGCCTTTCCGTCCGCCTCTATTAATGTAGTTTTCTGTAATTTTTATTAAAAAATACCATATTTGAAATCGAAATGTAATATTGAACATGTTTTTGACAATTTACTTTACAAACAATAAAGAAAAAAAGTTTGAAACCATATGATTGTCACTTACACCTTATTAAATACGCCTTGGCCTGACTATTTGCAAAGACAAAAAAAAATATTTAAAACAAAAAAATATTTAACCATTTTTAATCCTTTTTTGTGTCACAATATTTTGTAAAAAGATTTTCATTTATTGACATTTATTTGTACTAAAAGCTGGATTGCTGCAGCTACATTATTAAATCGCGTTTGCTTTATTATATGCAATTTAGTGGTAAAAATTGGATTTGGTTATTGGTAATGCAATATTTTTCCAAATGATAACCACTTAGTTTCAATAGAAAATTCAACACAGAAATTCTATATTGCAATTGATCGATCTATATTATTGATGATACCGATTTGATTCCGAAAATGTCAATAAAAAAAATATTTTTTGAATTTAAGATTTCATATTTAACGGTCGTCACGCGTATGCGTACGAATTTATTCTCCTCAAAAGTTAAATACATGTATTTCAATGAATGTTATTTGGGTAATACGGACGTCTAACAAACCTTATTAAGGTGGAAGGTGAGTATTTTTGTACGGAGCGCAATTAATTACCACATACTACCTTTGCATTCATATGACAAGATGTTTTTGCTTAATATGCTTTATTAGTGGATTCTAATAGCATCAATCGCACTAAATTTATGATACACCGATCCTTACAAAAAATCACATCCCTTATTTTGTGCACGACAAACCGTATCAGATAATTCGGTTTATATATTATGTATGTGTTGTCATTTGGTGTACTCAATTTCATTTATAAATTTATCGTTGTTATTTCCATACTACGACACATTATTAAAACTTTTAGTACTATTTATTACAACACAATATTTTTATATCGACCACTAACTAATCACTTTCTTGCACATTATTTTGCAAATACCATTCCACATCAGGACACCCAAATTCAAAATAAAATAGATTTTGATAAAAAACTAAGTGTTTATTTTCGTAAAGTTGTCACAAAGTTTCTGTTTAGGCTTTGACGGCGTACTTCCTTTGAGGATAGATAGACCTCTTACGGATTTCCTTGAGGGTCTTTCTGTTGGCGTCTCTGGGAGACAAAGCCTTGCGAATAGCGCGAGTCCTTTTCTTTCTCAAATCCAAAGGCTTGTACTTCTTGTTTTTGTACACTTTGCGCAAGTTTTCCTTCTGCTTTTGGTGCATAACAATGTAAACACGGGCGATAGCCTTGCGGACTACGCGGCTGTAAGAACAAAACAAACCTTTAATATCGACCCTTTATTACGTATGTTAGATTACTTACATTTTGGAAAGCTTGGAAGCAGCGCCTCCAGTAACCTTGGCCACACGCAAGACGAGGAGTTCATTTTTGAGCTCTTCCAATTGCTTGGTGAGCTCCTTCTTGTCTTTTGTTCTCAAATCTGAGCACTTTACTTTGACCTGCAATTAACGGAAGTATTTTAGCATTTCTATGAAAATATGCTTATAACTCAATGAGGGATAACTTCCGTGGTAGCACAACATATAAATATATATTTTTTATTTGGCGATTACACGGAATTCATTGAATTCTAAATATAAAAAATAAACCAACCATTTTGTCTGCCTCTCACGCCAAAAAGAATTTCTTGAGGATGCTTCCGTCAAAATTTGACAGTTGACAATTCACACAACGCAGCTTTCGTATATGTTAAACGAAACTGGGTACCACTTTTTTAAAAATGAGTTATTCGTTACGCATTGCGAATTTCACGTTACGCAACGTAATGGATATATGCCGTGTTTCTATACATTTTTTGGAAAGCTACCCACCGTCAACAAGCAACAGGACAGTCGAAGACAATTGAGTTCATACATTAATTGTCAAAAAATTAAAAATTGCCTTTGTGACGTAGGCGTCCAGAAAATTTGAAAACAGATTTTCAAATTCATGAATGAAAATAGTAATTTGATTCCTTTTTCATGGTATGATATTTCGATTTTTTATGTTTAATAAATCTCAGTGGAATTTTCCATTATTTGAAATTGTGTTTTGCAATATTGTTTGAAAATGTCAAAAATTGTCCACATTTACTATTAATGAAAAATTCAAGACAGTCTCTAGACAATTGACAAAAATGGTTTGTATCTTTGCTATTGTCCACACAAAAAAGTGTTTGAAAACAACAATTTTAAGCAACTATTAGTTTAAAAATTCTAAGCGCCAAAAATAATAAGAAATTGGATATTTGACTTGAACATATAATATGGATTTTGTAGTGAGAATAACATAGCTTTCCTCCGTGGTATAATAATAGAAGCTAACAGGAAGTGTTGTTGTCTAACAAACGATACAACAACCACATGGAAGTTATACTAGTGTCAACGTCATTTGACAGAAAAATGTAAACAAACAAACAAATTATCAACAAATTATATTTATTTTGAAAATGTAATATTTTCGAATCCTCAAAATTAAAATGAGAAACATGAATGAAAATGTATAAAATTTATATTTTACTATCGCTTCCACATCTCTCCTACAATTGAGCCATTACCACTTATATGTGTAACACATACGGAAAGATTCCTCAAACTTTCCCAGCAGGCAGATTGAGTGAATTAAATACGGAAGGGCATTTAATAAAGAACAATTACGAATTGTATGCGAAAAAACACGTGTTAGTTAAGCGAACGCTTAACAACCGCCATTTTGTAAAAAATCTATTTTTAAGCCCGTGGTGGTATAATACTTTTTTAAACTTTTTTAGATCACGTCCTTCTTGTGAGTCGTCCGAAGACGAACTCGAGCCAGCGGTACCATGCATTTGGGTATATTTTTTGGTAAGGCCCGTACCTAAATTCAGTGCGTTACGCACTAAAATTCCCACCTTCTCACCTTTATAGAGTTTGCTGAACGTCCGTATTACACAAATACGCAAGGGCCTTATTTACTTGTGTGTCAATTGAAATTGTTCAAAAAACGTTTACTTTTATAGAAACACAAATTTTTCAATGACTGGAATTCTATTTTTTAAAAACAAAAAATTCAAAATACGCATTGTCAATGTTGAAAAATTTCAACTTTATATTTTTATACGCAATGCGTATTTGGGTAACATTCATTAAAATACATGTATTTAACTTTTGAGGTGAATGAAATCGTAGGCATACGCATAAATTTTGTACGACCCTAAAACTTTATTTTGAAAATCCTAGCAAGCTTTCCTATAGCAAAAATATTAAAAAAGTCATCACCCGTCGATGAAAACGATAACAGGCGTTATCATATTTTTAACAAATATGTCATACCGTTAGGAAAGAAATGAGCCATGTACCCGTTACCACTTTAAAGTATCTTCTTTGTCAAACTGAATGTTACTAAGGCGATGTATGCAGTAACAAAAGAATGCGTTGTTCATTTCATTCAATCGCTGTACCTTACATTGTAAAATTGCGAATTTACTTCACAAAACTATTCTTCTCTTCTTCCGCAAGAGGAGCGAATAAATAATACAACTGTGTTTGTGAAAAATATTCAGTTTTGAATTCAATTTTATTTGATAATTTTTTTGTATCCTTCAAATTGATTCTATTAAACGATTTTGAAATCAATCGATTTCAAATTACTAACTTTTATCTCATCTATTTTTCGTCCGAATCGAATCATTTAAATATAATAATAACTTTTTTTCGCCTTTTTACATTTTTAATAACAAATACAAACAAAAAATATTTTTATTTGAAACAAAATATTCGTGTACAATCTTATCAATACGCTTTTTTGAAAGATATTTCGAATTTGTATCCTATTTTTGCCAAAAACTAATTGTCAACATGACAATTTAATTTCTATAACAGCAATGTTGTTTTTGTAAAATGTTAGTTGTTGTAGCTGATGCATACACCTTATTAAATACACCTTGATTGAATGTTGACAAAATATTAAAAATATGCTGCTGCTATTATATAGTTCTATAGCTTATATAGCTATACTGATCTAGTTACTTCAAATTAAACTGTTGGATTCATTTGTCGATTGAAAAAGTTGTCTATGCACATTATACCAATTTGTTAGTTACTGATTACATTATCAGGGTCATGATATAATAATAGAAGGTAACAGCAAGTGTTGTTGTACAACAAATGATACAACAACCACATGGACATTTGTTTTTGTAAGTTATACTAGTGTCAACATCATTTGACAGAAAAATGTAAACAAACAAATAAATTATATTTATTTTGAAAATGAAATATCTTCGAATCCTCAAAATAAAATTGAAAAACCTGAATGAAAATCTATCAAATTTATATTTCTATCGCTTCCACATCTTTCCTATAATTGAGCCATTGCCACTTATATGTGTAACACATATGAATGAATACGGGAGAATATTTAATAAAGAACAATTTCAAATTGTGTGCGTTCCCAATTTTCCTGTTGGGTGATTTTTAAAAACATAATTTGTCAAATTCATACTGACACCAGTATTACGTTGGAATCAAATCAGCTGGGATTTGCTGTTATCTTTTATAATTGTACCATGGTAAAGGGTAATGAATCGACTACCGAAATGACTATTTACTGGCAAAGCAGGCAGGGGACTATTCACCAGTCTAGGGCATAAATTGGTAACTAGTGACACTCGAACTACTCGGTGCCTACTGTCCGACCTTAGAGGAGGTGATGCAAATGTAGTATAGGTTGGTAATGTGGTATAGTCACTTTTTTTGTAAACTGAAAATTTTAGAATAACTGAAACATGTTCTATAGTTTGCTGTTCTCAAAAAAATAAGATAGCAATGATCTGTTTAATTTATTTAAATCACGTTGAGAATCAGTACCAAAAATTAAATTTTTCGTGATAATGACTTTTTCGGTTCAAGTTTAAACATAATTTTTTGTTTTACGGATGTAATTTAATCGTTATTACTAAAGCATTAAAATAATTAGTATGAACTAAAAATCAAATAATATGCGCGATTGCACCACATAATCACCAATTTAGGAAAAAAAACTAAACATTTCTTCAGTAAACACAAGTACAGGTAATGTGGTATACCTTGAGTCTGCATGAAAAAAGCCAGCACTAGACAAAATCTCATTACTATTTGAAACATTTGTACTCTACGAGAGTCTACCACGAACCACAAGGATGAAAAACAAAGGCTATAAGTTTTAACGACTTCTCCATACAAAAATTAAATATTGTCATGTGTAGACATTATTACATATTAAAAATTAAAGTTCCACTCAACATATCCGTTCAAAATCTTAACAGACATAAATCTCGCATTCATTAAAAACAATAAATTATATAAGATATCAATTGGAAGTGAAAATTATACTATACCACATTAACGTCATGTGGTATACCACATTACCTTCACTTTTTTTAAAATCACTTTTAATGAAATTTCAAATATTTTCTCAAATATCTCTTAAATTGTTAGAATAATTTTATTTTCAAATTGATACATGGAAAGACAACACATGTAGCATGTTATGTGCAAAATTTCAATTTAATCGGATAAAAAATAAAAATTTGGCAATCTAAAAACAAATGGGTATACCACATTTGCATCACTTCCTATATATAGGCCTTAGTCTAGCATAATTTTGTATGTATAGGTTTCAAAATAGGATTTGACAGCAAACTTAATACTCAGCTGCCCTTACTGTCTGACCTTATACAGCCTTTGAATTCAACTATATACAGCCTTATTCTGGATATATGCTAGGGAGATATCTCGCATGTAAAAAATTTTCGCTTTCACATTCTCGCCTTATTTTGAATGAATAGGGAGATGCAAAAAATGCGAGATGCGGATTCGAGTTTTCGAAAATGGTGGTTGAAAAAAAGATTCGTGTTGCCATATCGTAAATTAAGTTGCAATGTGTGTGGCCATATTGTAATTTAAGTTGCAATGTGTGTTGCCCCATTGTAATTTAATTGTGTAATATTTTTTAATATATTATTTATTGATTTTTGTTATTAAAAATTGTTACTTTTTTTTGTTATTTAAACTATATAGCAATACAAATGTGAAATATCAAGAATACGCTGTATAAATGCTTTGTAATTAAAAGAAAATAAATTAAAGTTTGAAAATATGGCAACCTACAATATGGCATGTGAAACAGCTGTTCATTGTTTTGATGCAATTTGTTGCAACAACTACAATAGATTACAAATAAAAGAACATTTTTTTATGATGGCAAAAACACAACGAATAATAGGAAGAAATCTGCGATTTAATTAATTAATTTACAGTTTATTATTTCACTACATAATTGTGTGCCTTTTTATTTAATTTCGATATTTTATCTCCCCAAATTCTTAAAGTGGCCTGTTATGTTATGATTTGCTTTTGAAAAAAAAATTGTTCTTTCATAATTTTTATTTAAGTTTTTCACTGTTAAGCGGCTCATCAGGCAAATTTGGGTATTCCATAATTTTTAAAAATTTTTTCTTGAGAGACAGATCCTCACCCAAAATATCTGTATTTCACTTAAATATTCGACTTAAATATTCCTTATTACCTTCATACATTTCTTGGCAATACTTGGTTCAGCATGCATCGTTATCAATAGGATCTCCAATGGCATTTTATTGGTTGTTTTCCAGTTAAAAATTTGCTTTCTATCATTTATAATATTCTAAATCGTCATAGAATAAGTATTGTGTAAATATTTTTCATAAAAATAGT